TTCCCCCCCCCCTTTTATATTCACCCATATGCATTCAGGATAGTTTTCATCATTGCTGTGCTCTATTTCTGTAGAGATGTAGTTATTTCTTATATAGAGAGCAACTCCACCTCCTCTTTTATTTGGCCTGTTTCTTTTAAATAATTTAAATCCCTCTAGTGAAATTGTTTATGAAGATATTAAAGAGTACTGGACCTAAGAGAGAACCTTGGAGTCCCCCACTGCTTACTCCTCTCCATGTAGATGTAGCTCCATTAAGGACTATATGTTGAATGTGGTTTATCAGCCAGTCACAAACCCATCTGGTGGTGATGCTGTCTATCCCACATTTTTTTAACTTACTAAGAAGTAGATTATGATTGACTTGGTCAAATACCTGGCTGAAATCCAAATATACTATGTCCACAACATGTTGCTCGTCCACTAATTTAGTCACTTTGTCAAAGAATGAAATAAGATTCGTTTGGCATGATCTGTTTTTGATAAACCCATGTTGACTTGTTATAACTTTGTTTGCTTCTAGGTGTTCTCAGATCTGCTGCTTGATTATGTTTTCCAGGATATTTCTCAGATATTGATGGCAGGATGATTGGTCTGTAGTTTCCAAGATCCATCCCCCCCCCTTTTTTTTTGATGATGGGAACCACATCAACTCTTTTCCAGTCCTCTGGTGGTTCCCTGCTGCTCCAGGAATTTATGGATAAAAAGAAATAAAAAGGAACCCTCCCTCCAATGTAGAGAACACTCTACAATAGCAACTGAGAGTCAAAAGTTCTTTGAATTCTGTTTTGTGATTCACAGAACAGCAGTGGGTGAATCAAAAGCTAGATCATGTTATCTTCTTTCTTTAATTGATCCCCACACATTTGCACAATATGTAACTGTATATATCATACTTATGAGTTTTCATTAGTAATTATGACACTCTCAAATTTCTACACATGATATGGCAGAATGGAAAAGAATATCCCATCCTTGCTCTGTTTCCCCTTTGGCTGCACAGAAAATATCTGAGGGCAGGTCAAGGCTTGTTGCAGTCACTTTCCAGCAAAACAGATGGTGGGATGGAGGTGAACTTT